AAAGGAATGGAAGACAATTGTAGACACCAGAGATAGTGTGAGAAGAGGGTGGGATAGGACAGAGGGTCAGAAAGAGGGGTAAAAAAAAATTCTAGGAACTAGAAATGAAAAATTTTTTATAATAATACTATGCAGTATATCCTGGATGGGAAATCACATTTTGTATGCTGTGATGATGCTTAGGAAAAGAATGTAAATTAGGTTACAAAAAAAAGTTTCAGAAAAAAAATATCTATTCAATGACTGCAGTAAGATATATAGCCCCAGGTAGGTGATACTTTATAGGATGTGTAAAGTTAGACTTGTGTTCATGGAAATGTATGTATCAGCTGTGTTTGCTATGAAAATATTTAGATTAATTAAAGTTTTTAGTAATTCAATAAAATGTGGGAAGAAAGCAGTATAGAAAGTAAACATAGATACCAGAGACAGTGTGGGAGGAGAGTGGGAGATGGCAGAGGGTAAGAGATAGGGAATCAAGGATGGGGGAAATAAAGCAAAACATACAGGAAACAAGAAATGGAAAGTTATTTGTTGACAATAACATGTTTGTTGATGTACTTGATTGAGACAATATACAGTGTACTCTGAATGGAAAATCTCATTTTGTATGCTGTAATGATGTACAGTGAATGAATGCAAATAAATTTTTTTAAAAATCACACTGGGATTGTAGCGTGGCTATCCTCCCCTGGGGGTGATTTCTTGTGCGTGTATGCCCAAGATCCTAAGAGGAGAATGGAGGAGAAGGGATTGCAGCATGGCCATCCCCCCTTGGGGGGTGATTTCTTGCTTTGTCTCTGTCTCTCTGTCTTTCTGGAGAGTGCATGCGTTCTATAGTGAAAATCTCTCAAAAATACATACATAGGATATAGGGACTATCTATTTCTGTCCAGTATTAGTTCGAGTACAACAACACTATGATAAAATAAAAAAGTACAAACAAGTTTCTTTTACACATAATGTGGAGATACTTGTCACTATGAAGGATTTGGGGAATGTGAGTCATAGGAAAAGATAAATCACCTTACCTGTCATTCTCCCCTGAACCATTTTTGCAACTTGGTATTTAATATACGCGCCTACTAACAGATAAATATCATGGGATGGTATAAGAAATATGTTTTCCAAAACAAGCAGACGTATCAATGCTGGCATTACTTTCTAAAAGAGGAAGAAAAAAAAGTTTTCACAGATAAAATTCTTTTCTTTCTTTTTAAAAAAAAAAAAAAAAAAAAAACGTAAAGCCTGGAAACATGTTAGTATTCTGTTTAAATAGTGGGTACATAAACCTATTGACAGCTCAAGACAGGACAAAAACTCTTAAAACCGGACAAAGCCTGAACGCAGCAATTTTTTAGTCAAAAGTCACAAAATGCTATTTCACCAGTTCAGACTCATGTACTTAATCTATCTTGTGTTGTGGATTGACCTTCCTGATTGAATTCTGGGATATAATATTCCAGACTTGTCCCTATGATTAAGTTGGCCACTTTCTTAGTCTTTGAACTCTTATTTCCATGTGTCTGTATTTTATTTTCCTGATATGGCACACCCTTGAGAACTTCTTGGAGATCTGGTCTAGTGCTGGTAAATTCTTTCAGATTTTGATAATCTGAGAATGTTCTTCTCTTTTCTTCCCATATGAAGGATAATCTTGCCAGGTACAGTATTCTCGGTTGCAATTGCTTTTCCCTTAACACTTCGAATATATTTCCCCATTCTTTCCTCACTTGTATTATTTCTGATGAGAGGTCTGCTGTTAGCCTGATGGGATACCCTTTGTAGGTAACTTGCCGTTTTTCTCTTGCCAATCTTAGTATCTTGTCTTTGTCTGTGGTTTTGGTCAGTCTGGCTATAATGTATCTTGGAGAAGATCTTCTTGGGTCGATTCTATTTGGGGTCCTTTGTGTTTCTTGGGACTGGATCTTTGAGTGCCTAAGTTTGGAAAGTTTTCTTGCAGGATTTCATGGAAGAGATTATCAATGCCCTTATGAGTCTCTTCGCCTTCTGGAATGCCAATTATCCAGATGTTTGGATGTTTGATGGTATCTAGTACTTTTCGTATATTATTCTTTTTTGGGGGGCAATTTTCTCAGTCTTGATGGTGGGTTTTTCTAAGCCAGCAATTTCCTATGTCTAAGATTCTATTTTATGTATGATCTAGTCTGTTTTATTTATTTATTTGTTTTTATGTATTATTATTTTTTATTTGGAGAGGTTTTCGCTATAGGGCACGTGCACTTGCCAGACAGACAGAGAGAGACATAGAGACAGAAAGCGAGAAATCACCCCCCAGGGGGGGATGGTCACGCCGCAATCCCTTCTCCTCCATTCTCCTCTCAGGACCTTGGGAACGCACGCACACGCGCCTGGCTTGAGTTTTAAGCCACTGGGTCCGGGACGTGAACCACGGTCGACTACGTGGGAGTCCAGCGACATAGCCATTATGCTTGCTAATTGCCGGTTCCCTCAAGGGAGATTTTGACTTCCTGTATTATAGCCTTCATCTCTAACAGTTCCATTTGATTCTTTTTTAAAGTGTGTAATTCCTCTTTTAGATCTTGCAAGAATTTCCTCACCTCCTGGAACTCGTCAGCTTCTTTCTCCTTTCTCTTCTGCAGTTCATTGTCTCTCTTCTCTTTCATCTCTGTTAGCTTCGCCATTATAAATGTTCTAAATTCTTTATCAGACATTTCTATGATTTCCATTAAACTGCCTGTGGATGAAGAAGAGTTATTATTTTCCCTTGGAGGAGAGGTATTTTCTTGCTTTCCCATATTTCTTATGGTCCTGCGGTGATTTCTAGTCATCTGATGGATGGTGCATTTCTCCCTAATTCTTGAAGTTCAATATGAATGTTCAGGAGCAAGCAGAAAGAGGTGATCTGCAACTTCTTTGCCATTTCGTTGTGATCGCTTTGTGCAGGAGATTCAGTAGATATTGAGGACTATGTTAACCCTAATAGTATCCGGATGTTTAGCCGCAGTGCCCTTAGATCCATCTAGAAACACGGTAAATGGATATTGAGGAGTGGAGAAACGAGAAAAAAGAAAATAGAAGAGAGAAATAACAACGAAGAAACAGGAAAAAAAAAGAAGGAAAAATTAAATAAAAATATTATATTTACTGTTTTTCTGTAAAAAAAAAAAAAAAGCACAAGATAGAAAACCACACAGCATCCTTGAAAATTCGTAAGGACATATTCTGTGTTAAAAATTTACTTCCTCAGAGCCAGCAGTTAGCGTAATGGCTATGTCGCTGGACTCCCACGTAGTCAACAGCGGTTCGCGTCCCGGACCCAGTGGCTTAAAACTCACGCCGGGCGCGTGTGCGTGCGTGCCCAAGATCCCAAGAGAAGAATGGAGGAGAAGGGATTGTGGTGTGACCATCCCCCCTGGGGGGTGATTTCTCGTTTTCTGTCTCTATGTCTCTCTCTGTCTGTCTGGCGAGCGCATGCGCCCTGTAGTGAAAATCTCTCTCTCTCAAAAAAAAAAAAAATTACTTCCTCTAAGTTTCTTTTACATTTTTTACAAAGATAAAGGAAAATGTTTTCCTAATTGCAAGTCATAATTTCAAGTAGCCTTAAAAATTATCTTGAATCTTAATTCTACATTAATTTTATAAGTCACTTATTAACTGTCTAAATTACTATGAGAGTAGAAATAAAGACTTCTGAAAGTGAAGTAGATAAATAAAAAGGCAAGAATGCTGAAATAAGAAAGGACAGGACAACTGTATGCTACAGAAATTCTTATTTATTTTCTAGAAAAGATATGCACCATTTTACAAACTTTTGTTAAAATACACAAGAGTGGGACCAGTAGTTGGCATAATGGTTATGTCACTGGACTCCCATGTAGTCGACCGCTGTTTGGGTACTGGACCTGGTGGCTTAAATTCACGCGGGGCGTGTGTGTGTGTGCATGCCCAAGATCCTGAGAGGAGAAAGGTGGACAAGGGATTGCGGCATGGCCATCTCCCCTGGAGGGTGATTTCTCGCTTTCTGTCTGTCTCTCTGTCTTTCTGACGAGCGCATGCGCCCTATAGCAAAAATTTCTCAAAAAACAAACCACAAGAGTAAGAAATGTTTGTGGGGCTGGGAGGTGGTGTGGTGGTTAGAGATGTTGGACTCCCACATGGCAGACTATGGTTCTAGTCTTGGACCTGGGGGCTTGCTTTCTCGCATTCCCTTTCTCTCTCTGTCTCTCTCTGGACAGATTTAAAAAGTGCAAGTAAATAAATACATTTTTTTTTGAGAGGTTTTCGCTACAGGGTGCGTGCGCTCGCCAGACAGTTAGAGAGAGACAGAAAGACAGAAAGCGAAAAATCACCCCCCAGGGGGGATGGTCACACCGCAATCCCTTCTCCTCCATTCTCCTCTTGGGATCTTGGGCACGCACGCACACGTGCCCGGCGTGAGTTTTAAGCCACCGGGTCCAGAACGCGAACTGCAGTTGACTATGTGGGAGTCCAGTGACACAGCCATTACGCTAACTGCTGGTCCCATACATATTTTTTTTAAAAAAGAAGAAATGTTTGCTTCTTTGTCCCATGGGACAAAATAGACCATCACATACAAGGGTAGCAGATAAAATGTAACCATTTTCAAGACACAGGGATTCTTTTAGCCAACCTCCAATATGTATAGGTCATTTAGATTTGCCATAGAAAGAGAGAGAAAGTGAGACATCATCTGCCGGGGGATGGCCGCACTGCTATGCCTTCTCCTCTATTCCCCTCCAGGGATTTTAGGCACACATGCACATATGCCTTGTGTATTTTACAAGACAGGACTCGAACCGTGAAGTCAGCCAGGTGGGATCCAGCTGCCTTAACCATCATACCACCTGGCTGGCTCTGAACATACTGATTCTTGTGAAGATTTACCCAACACGCAATTGGTAGGCTGCTTTCAAGGATGTCTATGCATGTGTGTTCCTGCCACTTGAGTTAAATGCTTATCAAAAATCATTTGTTCTTCCCAAACTTGTTTATGCTAGTAGTACTTGTAATTATAATTACATTAAAATAAAAACTATAAACATGAAAAGAAAGCTGTTGTTTCTGTAAAAACAATTTAAATGCTTTGAAAAGCAGTTAAAGACAAGTAGCTAATATGTACTATCAAATTAGGTATAAAAGAGAAATGTAATAGATTGGGGAAGTTCCATGAAAAACATAGACATCTACACTCAGATTCTTCACACATGTCTTAATTTTCACTTGACTATAAAAACAATGAACTAAAAACTAGTTTATGTAAGAAAAAATATGTAAATTATTAACTAGTGAATTTATGATCAAAGAAAGGTCTTGGGCCTAGATCAAAGGATTGGAGAACAAAATATATTTTAAGAGAAAATGTCAGGGTAGCAAGTGGTGTGGTGGTTAGGGTACTAGATAGCCACATGGCTGACCACTGTTTAAGTCCTGGACCAGGCAGCATGCTTTCTCACTTTCTCTCTATCTCTCTCTCCTGGTGACAACATGTGCTTTGTAGCAAATTGAAAGACAATAAGGATGGTAAATAAAATTAAATAATTTTTTTAAGAGAGATTTTTGCTATAGGGTGTGTGTGCTTGCCAGAAAGACAAACAGTGAGAAATCATTCCCCGAGGGGATGGCCACACGGCAATTCCTTCTCCTCTTCAAATTTTGGGTAAGCACACATATACTCCCAGAGTGTTGTAAACTGTTGAGTCAGAGACTTGAACTGTGGTCAACTATGTACGAGTCCAGCAACAAAACCATTACGCCATCTGCTGGTCCCTGAATAAATAATTCTTAAAAAAAAAAAAAAAAAAGAATTACTTGTTTAAAAAAAAGAGAAAATATCAGTTGTATTTATAATTGTAGTTAGATAATAAAATATTTAAAGAAGACAAGTCTTTGTTTTTTCCTCACAGGCGAGAGAGACAGAAGGGAAAGTGAGAAATCACTACCCAGGGGGGATGGCTATGCCACAATCTCTTCTCTTCCATTTTCTTCCTGGGATTCTGGGCATGAATGCACATGCACTTGGAATGATTTCCAGGCCACCACATTTGGATTCGAACCACAGTCAGCCATGTGGGGGGAGTCTAGCGCCTCTTCTAGGACCACTTGCTGGTCCTAGAAGACAAGCTATTTTTAGGCTTACTCACTTTGAATTACTTTTCTTTTCTTTTCTTTTTAAAATTTTTTGTCCCCTATTTCCTAAGTTTTTACTTTTTTAAACATTTATTTATTGGGTCCAGCAGATGGCATAATGGCTACGTCACTGGACTCCCATATAGCTAACTGTGGCTTGAGTCCTGGAGCCAGTGGTGTGAAACTCACATGAGATGCATATGCATGTGTGCCCAAAATCCCAAGAGGAGAACAGAGGAGAAGGTATTGTGGTGCGGCCATCCCCCTCGTGGGGTGCTTTCTTGCTATTTATCACTCTGTCTTTGTTTCTCCAGCAAGCACACTCACATCCTAGAGCAAAAAATCTCTTTAAAAATTTTTATTTATCTATCTATTTATCTGTTGTGATTTTTAGGCCACAGGGTCTAGACTTGAACTGTGGTCAGCCATGTGGGAGTCCAGCACTTCAACCACCAGGCCACCTGCTAGCCCCATGCCTTTTCACTTAGATGACCAATATTAACCCAAATATTACCAGGCTAGAAAGCTTCTACTATAGAAAACATGAGAAACTATATTTTCTGTAGGCATGACTATTATATGAAAGTGCACAACACAAACATTTTACCTTATAGAACGGTTCATAAATTCGAACTTTTACAACAGCAGCACCAGTCCTAATCCCAGACACCAAAATCATATCTCCTTGTTTCTCTTCTTTTTCCATCTCGGCTATATAGGCTGGGGGAGAATATTCTGCCTCAGAGTATTTCAGAATCCTAAAGGTATAAAATAAGACTTGTTTATAACAGAATCAAACAATACCTTCTTCCAAAAGTCTGCTCAGAGACTTTAAACACAGTCTTTGTAATGTCTATAGTGTGTAAAAACCTCTAACCATAACAACTGTGAGAAAAGTCCCTGGCTAATACTGTTGTGGGATCAAAGGTCGGCTTGCCTGAGATCTACTCCTTGGTACTGAAGACGAAATTTCAAACTGTTATCCCACTCATTCTGTTTCAGCATGTGCAGATAGCCCCAGCAACAAAACTGACAGGAGATATACCTGGCTCACAATGACACACTCCTGAGCTCATGAACTCCTCTCAGTAGTTCTTATGAACCTATCATAAAGGTAGCTAGGGTGAGCAGGTGGTGTGGCGGTTACGGCACTGGACTCTCACCTCGATTTGAGTCCCAGACCTGGTGGCTAATCGCACTGGGTGCGTGTGCTTGTATGCCCAAAATCCCAGGAGGAAAATAAAGAAGGGATTGCGGTGTGGCCATCCCCCGAGGGTGTGATTTCTCACTTTTCCTCTTACTGTCTCTCCTGTTTCTCTCTGGTGAGCACATGAGCAATATGGCAAATGTTCCCCCAAATTACATTAAAATAAATACATTAAAAACAAAAAGGCACTTATATTTATACTATACGTCATCCTTTTTATTTCTTATTTTGCCAGAGATTTGTGCTCCTGCCAAAGAGAGAGAAACAGAGAGAGGAAGAAAGCACCTCCCTCAAATGGGGCAAGGTCATACCACAATCCCTTCTCTTCCATTTGTCCATCCCATTGGGATCTGGGGAATTCATGCACATAATCCCAGCATGTTTTTCAAGCCACTGGGGCCAGAATTTGGATTGCAGGGTCGGCTATGAGGAACGTGGCTCCTTTAATCACTAGGACACAGGACCACCCTTGCCATATGTCATTCTATCAAAGCTATTTTCTCCTGC